CCTAAACAACCGAGCAAGACAAGCCACTCCGACCAGGTAAATCGCTTGATTTATTTAGTTTGCAAAGTGCCTCTGCAAGACTTCCCCAGCCCCTACCGCCCCGGAGCTGTACCGAGAGTGCAGCGGCAGCGGCGAGCCTCCTCCCAACTCTGCCCCTCTCACCCCCTGAAGCCTCCCCCTTTGCGGCCCCTCGGCGCGATCCCCAGCAAGGCGAGGTCCCAGCAGCGTGTGGGATTTTGCAAACAAAGTGTCTGTGAAATAAAATGAAACCTGGAGGGACACACATAAAGCCACTGGGAGATAAAGGAAGAGATGGGAAGAGAGAAGTTGGGGAAAGAAAGAAATCAGGGGTCCTAGACTAGCCGCGCCCAGTCCGGCGGGTGGTTTCCTGAGCCCCTCTGTTTTGCAGGTTGGCTGCCCGGCAGGTATTGGTGAGGGCTCGAGGTAGATGGTGAGCGGCTGCGGCAGCTGAGGGCAGGTAAGGAGAAAGCCACGGGGTCTCCCGGGACGCGGGGAGCGAGTCGGTTGCTCTTGCTTCCTTTTCCTCAATTGGGTCCCCGCTTACACCGGTCCCAGGCTGGGGGGCGGGGCTGGAGACGGTCCTGGAGGACCCTAGAGTGCGACTACTGTCCCGCGGACCCCGTTCCTTCTCCCCCCCCCCCCCCCCCCCCCCCCTTCCCCCCCCCCCCCCCCCCCCCGCGGATCCCCGAAGTAAGCTAGCTGAAGTGCTAAGTTTGGAGAAAGTCTCTGAAAACATTGTTGCAGCCTAACAGAGCCACCTTGGCTGTTCTCTCCCTTGGTCCAAGAACCAGGCTGTTTCCCTTCTCCTCTCTTTGCCTGCAAGCCCAGGCCACCGGTCCCGGAGAACGGGGGCGAGGACTTCTTTAGCTCTAAGTTTTCTCTCCCTGAACTTGTAAGCTCAGCTCCCACCGCCTGCTTAGAGAGTTCTGGCGAAGCAGGATGAAAAGATAGGGCCCCTGGGCCCCAGTCACAGTTCCAGCGCCTTTTCCTGACGCGGAAGAGTAGCGCCCCGGGTTCGGGCCATAGCGACGGCGAGGCTTAGACCTTCCACTCAGGGGCAGCGTGGGCTACGCCTCTGAGGCCTAGTTTTTCAGTTTCGATTAGTTCCTGGGGCCACAAGGTCCTGGGAGTAGGACAGACCAGGGAGAGCAAGGAACTGGCTACACCCCGGCCTCCCAAATCCCCGAGGCTCTTTGGTACGCCGGGCTCCAGCCCGGGTCCCATTGTTCGCAGCCCGGACCCAGCAGAAAGAAGGCCAGGCCCGCGCCTCGGAAGAGGGACCGAGGCTGTAGCAGAAGCACCCGTGACCTCAGCCCGCGTCTTGGAACCGCCACATCTACAGTGGCCCTTTGGCGTCTTCGGGGCCGTTTCTGTGAGCCCTGGGGGGTAACTGCGGTTGAAATGTGGTGGGGTCCTGGGTGAGCGGTCTTTCTGCGGTAACGCACAAAGGTCAGCTGAGGAGGTGACGGCGGGCGCTGGGGCAAGGCTCCAGCCGCGGAAAGCTTTGAAGGAACCAAGTCTCCCCAGTGGGCTCCGCGTCCCGGAGATGGCTAGATGCGGCTTGACCTCCGAAGTGCTTCGCCTTGGTCCTCGGGAATCTCTACTACTTTTTCGTCCCACTTTCAAAACATTAGAAAAAAAAAAAAAAACTCTTCATGCTCTGGGCAGTCAGTGAACTTTGCTTGTTCAGCATGAGGTGGGTTCCCGCTGGACTCAAAATTTTGTTCATGTTTAGGACCTTGCTTCCTTGCATTACCGGCTTAGACCTCCCCAGCCTGATCCGGCTTTTCACATCTTCTCACCCCTAGCGCCTCCCTATGAGTGTCTTTCGCCTATGCTAAACGAGGAGAGGCAGTGAGGACCCAGAAAAGTTTACTTTTCAAAAAAGCTGTGGTCTCTGGGCTTAGGCTCCATGGATGGTGGCCCTGTACAGTCCCGTAGCCTATGCCCCCTCCCCACCTGAGGCTCGTGGCCTCAGACAATTTCAGGGAGCCAGGGTAGCTCCTATTGATGATTTCCTTGTGTGTCTCCATAGGTCCGGCCCCCAGACGCATCAGAGCTCCAAGGACTGCGTGGTGGGAACCCCGCACCGCGCCAGGTCCCCGGCCCCCTGGATCCGTCGGGGCGCCTCCACCCGGCTGTTAGCATGATGTCTTACCTCAAACAACCCCCATACGGCATGAATGGCCTCGGCCTAGCAGGGCCGGCCATGGACCTGCTGCACCCCTCCGTGGGCTATCCCGGTGAGCACCGGCCCTCCCGACCCCCCAGCCCTTGCAAACTTTGGGTAACCCCAGTCTCTCGGGTCTGAGTGCATGCCTCTTGCCAAGCAGGCCCAGGGTAGCCGGTCGCCTCCTCTTATTACGATGTAAAGCTGGAGCTGACACACGCCGCAGAGTCACCGGTGGGTGAAATAGGTCAGGGCAGCGAAAACGTGCATCTGCAGCCTTCCGGCAGGGCCACGCGGGCAACCTGTCTCCTGTTGTCTTCCCACTACCGAAGCAGGGCACATTTACCTGCAAATTCGTTTCCCACGGGTAGCTTTTCTTATTGTGGCTCTTATCACTTTTTTTCCCCCAGCAAGGAATGAGAACTCTGGAGTCTCCTTAGGCTTTAACGGAAAGAGCCTAGCCCAAAGGCCTAACTTCCCCTATGTGAATCTGCAGGCTGAGTTGAGGAAGCGCCATTTTCCCTTCCAAATTAAAATTTCCCTTGGACCCATGGCCTGTATCAACTCTTTCAGTGCTGAAGCTGATGGCTTGAGCCAAACCCTGGGATTCTTTTCCAGCTCCCGCTACTGAATCCCCATTGATTCCCTCAGAACATGTTTTCAGGTCATGTTTCTGTGCACCCCTCTCCCACCTTCAGGCAGCATGTGTGTCTGGGAGGAGATGTGGAGGAAGGGAGATTGCATGACTTCTCTTTCTTAACCTTTGGGAGACAGGGAGCAGCCCTGGAGCCTTGGAGACACTGGCTCCCAGTCGCACACATGCACTTTCTCCCACTAGTGGCCTCTCAGGCTTGTCCCTCTTGAAGAGTTTATTTTACTCGGAGCTCGGCTTTCCCTTGCGACTGCCGGACTCTGGGACCGACAGGGGCCTGCCCGCGATCTCCCCCGCCGGTCTGCGTGGCTACCGCTGACCCGAGGCGTTCCTGCGTGTCCCCGCAGCCACTCCGCGGAAGCAGCGGCGGGAGCGCACAACCTTCACGCGATCGCAGCTGGACGTGCTGGAGGCGCTCTTCGCCAAGACGCGATACCCCGACATTTTCATGCGCGAGGAGGTGGCGCTCAAGATCAACTTGCCTGAGTCAAGAGTCCAGGTGCGCACTCCAGGGGCTCCAGGAATCAGAGTATGGACGCCTGGCCAGTCGGGTAGGGTCCAGGCAGACAAAGGTTCTCTGAGATGGGGAAGAGTGGCCCGGTACTGGGGCAAGTTTACGGGCTGGGAAGACCCTCTCACACTCTCCCTAATGCTGGACCCCGGCCAGGAGGAGGAGGGAGAGTTAAAGGAAATGGCTTAGAGTCGTGTATCTGACCCTTGACTCTCGGGTGCCTTCGGTATCCCAAGTCCTTTTTAGGAGCCCAGAAGGAGACTTGCCCCTGCTTCTTCTATTGCCCGAGTACTTGGCAGTTTTCCTCGAGGGCCTGAATTGTGCCTCTGCCCCTGCCTTCCATCTCGGGGATCCTGGAAGTGGAAGAGCAGAGCTTGACCGGAGTGCGGTGTCCTGCCTGGGAATGAGTTCCGGGCTTGGCGTACATTTATTTAGATCTTTCCTCTGCGCAGAGAGGACGCCCAGCTCAAAACTAGGATGCCGGTTTTGCGTTTCTGCTTTTGTAATGAAATGAAACCACCAAACCAAATTCACTGCCGTGGAGTCGATTCTGACTCTGAGAGACCCTGTAAGTCAGATTAGAAAGAACTATCCTATAGGGTTTCTAAGGCTGTAATCTTTACCGAAGCAAACTGCCATATCTTTCTCTCGCGGTGCAGCTCCTGAGTTCCAATCGTCAATCTTTAGGTTAGCAGCGGAGCGCTTAACCATTGCACCACTGGGGCTCCTTTTGTGATGAAAGGACCGGTAAAATACTGTTTGGATTCTAATTCAGAACTCTTCTGAAGGGGCTTTTATCCCGCCTTCTTTCCCTGGAGGCTAGTACAAGTACCAGAAATGCAGTGCCTATAATAGCGGCCCGCCCAGGGGAATGAGAACTTAATGATTGACCTTCCTATTTGGATTCCCATCTAGAGCCCAGAAGCCCAACGAAATCCCGCCCAGATTTACATCCTGAGTTCCCTGAGAGCATCATTTGTTCAGCCTCCCAGTCCTACTCCTGCTCCCACCCAAAACATTCGCCCACCCAGTCAGGCCTCTATGAGCCGACTCAATGAAAGGTCCCGGACCCCAAATTTGGTGAAACTGTCCCGTACTCCAAAGCTCGCTCTGTGTATCTCTGCGGTTTTTTGAGCTCTGTAACAGACAGGTCCTCCAAGCATCCTTGGGGGAGAAGGGCACGCCCCTATGGGACTGCAGAAAGTAGCCAACAGCAGCAGCAGTATCCCAGCCCTGGGATAGAAATGCGGGCGGGGGTAGGGGAGGATTCCCCACCCTCCTCGGGAAACAGTAGAGGAGGGGCTTTGAGCAGAAGGATGGGAGAGGGTGGAGGAGCTGGGAACACTGGGCAGGGTCTGGCCGGCCAGTGCTGGGGAAGGGCGGAGGCCTCGGTAGGAAAGGGGACATCTCAACTTGGCCCACCAACCTTCTTGACCGGCTCTTCCCTGTTCGGTCGGCTGCAGGTCTGGTTCAAGAACCGCCGCGCCAAATGCCGCCAGCAGCAGCAAAGCGGGAACGGGACCAAGAGCCGGCCGGCCAAGAAGAAGTCTTCCCCAGTGCGGGAGAGCTCAGGCTCCGAAAGCAGCGGCCAATTCACGCCACCTGCTGTGTCCAGCTCGGCCTCGTCCTCTAGCTCGGCGTCCAGCGCCTCCGCCAACCCAGCGGCTGCAGCGGCGGTAGGCCTAGGCGGGAACCCGGCGGTGGCAGCCGCGTCGTCACTGAGCACACCGGCTGCCTCGTCCATCTGGAGCCCGGCCTCCATCTCGCCAGGCTCAGCGCCAGCGTCGGTGTCGGTGCCCGAGCCACTGGCCGCGCCTAGCAACGCATCGTGTATGCAGCGCTCTGTGGCGGCTGGCGCCGCGTCGGCTGCAGCCTCCTATCCTATGTCTTATGGCCAGGGCGGCAGCTACAGCCAAGGCTACCCTGCACCATCTTCTTCCTACTTCGGTGGCGTGGACTGCAGCTCATACCTAGCACCCATGCACTCACACCACCACCCGCACCAGCTCAGCCCCATGGCACCCTCCTCAATGGCGGGCCACCATCACCACCACCCGCACGCACACCACCCGCTAAGCCAGTCCTCGGGCCACCACCACCATCATCACCACCATCACCACCAGGGCTATGGCGGCTCCGGGCTCGCATTCAACTCTGCTGACTGCTTGGATTACAAGGAACCTGGCGCTGCCACTGCTTCCTCCGCCTGGAAGCTCAACTTCAACTCGACCGATTGTCTGGACTATAAGGACCAAGCCTCATGGCGGTTCCAGGTCTTGTGAGCCCAGGAATGGAAAGAAAAGAAGAAACGCAACTACCTGCGCCCTCTGTGGTCCCCGTCCTGTTGCTGCTGCTGCACCGCCCGCCTTTGCCTCGGCTTCTCCAGAACTGAATTTTCACGCCCCCAAAAGATGCCCATTGCCTGCACTGCCACCCCCATCTTTGTGCCATTTGCTTGGGGGATGTGCGAACCCGCCAACCACTTAGAGGGGGATCTGGTGCTTCGGCTTGGCCCACCCGTTCTATGCGTGGGAGCTGTGTGCTCTCCTCCCCATCCCCCACCAAACTCCCTAAATTCCTCTTTGCAGTCTTTTTGGACAGTTGTTACGCACTTGCAGGCCCCAGAGGCTCTTCGTTCTGACCCGCTGTTTGAGCCCAATACTTTTATTTATTCTTCTGGACGCTTGGAGTCATTAACTGGCGTGTTTCTACCCATTGGCGTGTTCCCGCACCTACACACTACACCAAATCCAACCACTAAGTGTTTCTTGAAGACTGCCGCGCCTTCAGCTGCTCTGGGCCGGGCTCCTCGACTGCAAGCCAGAGCTGGCGTTTCTGCTTCCTCCTGGTGGCCGGGGTGCGCGGGGCAAAGCCCGCGGGAGCGCGCCCCCAGCCTCCAGCACTCAAGTGGGCGTCCTGTCCCGCCCCGCGCAGGACTGGCTTGCGCTTCCGCCTTGGCGGGAACGCTGTACAAAGTCGGGTCCGTTCCAGGGGCCACTTAAACTTGTTAGTTACTGTTGAGAACTGAGTATATCTCAAGTCTTAGCGCCCAGGAAACAGAACTTTAAGATATATATAGTATACATATATATATATATATATAACAAAAGCAAAAAATATTTCCCCGTCCCCCTTCCTCTCTTCCTCAAAAGATGGCGCTTTTATGTTTTCCGTTGATACAAAGCTGTTCTGTCCTCTTCACACCTTCTCCCTCTGTGTATTTATTAAAGAGAACCGCTTGGTTCTAGGAACCTGGGCGCTTGGAGGACTTGGAGAGTTCGAGAATGTGGAAGTAACAGCCAAGTCAGGGCACATGGGTGGGAGGTAGGTTGGGCAGGGGCTCCAGACCGAGCTCCTTACCCGGTGTAAGCACAGGGTCGCAGTTTCGGTTTAAAACAAAACAACAAAAATCGTAATACACGCATTATGGGAAAAACAAACGACAAACCCAGACCCCAATGCCTTTCCAATTCTTCTGTTGGCCTCTCTCTCTTAAACAAACCCTGTTTTGTCTAGTGAGTTAGTGCACCTTCATTCTCCGAAATCTGCGGAGAGCCCGCGCGCCTGTGTATCAGTTTTGGCCGCTTCGTCCAGTAGGTGGGAAAGTAATTTGTAAATTTGATTTGTCGGATGTGAAGATCACAAATTACTTGTTGAAATGTAAGGCAGTCCCCCCTCCTTTCCCTTTATCTACATTATTTCCCGAAAATAAATGCAAATTAATGAACGATTTGTCCGTGTTGCTCTTCTGATTCCAGCTCAGGTCCTTTCCTGAAGGGGAGGAGGCTGAAAGCAAGGGAATCCTTGGTGTTAATAACTGGCGTGTTAATGACCCGCGTGAAGCTGCGGGCCAAAGGACAAGGCGGAGGGACGTGCCAAGAAGAGCCCCCAGAAACAGTCTCTTGAGGAGTGTCCTTTCCCCATCCTCCTGGCCTCTCCCCCAGGCGTTTTGACCCCGCATCCCCCTTCACCATCTAGGGTAGAGACAGGTGTCAGGACTCAATCCCCGAAGCAATTCCTCTCTCTTCAGGTGCAGGAACCTGGCACTGATTTCTTTACCCTAATTGCTTGCACCAGAAAGAAGAGGGGGAGGGGAAGAGGGTCAGGAGGCGGGAAAGGATAGTTCTGTAATGCTCTCAGTGCTGAGCCGAAAAAGAAAACGACCAAAAATAAATAAATAAATAAATAAAAATTGTCCTGCACTTTGGCAGCAGACAACCTTCCGTTTTGCTGAGCTTTTCTGGGTGGCTTCTCCGTGGCTAGGGGATCGCGTCACTCTTTCCACGTGTTAAAATGTCCCTTGAAACTCTCGGCCTCCTGTCAAGAGAAACCAAATTATCTCAGGTCACATTGTAAAGTTTCTTTAACACAAACACAAAACCTTGTGTTTAACATTTAAACACAAGGACGTGTTTAAATTTGGCAGGAGAAGAGGACGCCTGGCTTGCTGCTGAGGGTCGGGAAGAAAGTTCCACCTCCCCTTGCGGGGAGTTGAGAGGCAAGGCTCCCCTCAGAAAATACCCTGGTGCTGTCCAGACCGTTTGGTCTAAAATCTCCGGGGTGTGAGGCCGGCAAGCTGCTCGACTGGTCCAGAGGCGGGAAGGAAATAAGGAAACAACGAAAAGTTCCTAGCAAAGTGACCAACAGCCCCTTATTCTTTTTGTTATGTGTGAAGCCTGAGGACGTAGCGTGAGGCCAAGTTCCGAAAACGACCCCTCCGCCAGGGTCTGGTTGAGCGAAGTCTCGGGGCTTCGAGCTTCGGCTGGAGAGCAGCCTTCTCGGTTGCGTCCTCCCTCCGGACTTCGCAGGCCAGGCTTGAGCGCACCCTTCTCGCTCGGACAAAGCGGATCGCCCTCGGCTCCGCAGTGTCCCCAGGGACTCAGCTGCGGCCCCGCTGAGCTTGGCCCTGTGGCCCCGCCCGCCGGGACTTGGGCCCGACCTCAGGGCCGGGCGGCGTCCGCGCGAGCTCCCCCTTGGGGCCGCGCCTCCTGGGAAACGTGGAGCCGAGCCCCAGCTGCCAGGGCGCTGTGCCTCCTCGGGCGCGAGGTTCACACGTGCGGGCGGCAGGGACGCAAAGATCTTATAGCTCACGTCACCCAGACGGGGCACCTGGGCTGCAGGGCTCCCCTGCACTCCCTGAGCCGGCCCACTTGTGCTGCCCCGGGCAGGTTGAAGCTGGGTGCTGGGCTGCCCTCACCCACAGCTACCTGAGGCAGGTTCTGTGGGGCCCAGAGGTACTCATGGATGCTTGGTGAACTGAACTCAAAAGACCCGGCTTTGGACTCAGTCGGACAACCGCGTGGCCTCCTAAACAAGGCATCAAAACCCCTTGCTGCGCCTCAGTTTCCTCGTTTGTGGGAGTGGTATGGTTATTAGGTCCCACTTTGGCTGGGACTTTCCAGAACTTCAAACTTTAGGCGGACACTGCGAGCGGGAAGGACAGATGCGATGCCATAGCCCGGCCCACGTCTGGAAGTTTCGGCGCCTGCGTACTCGGGCAGGCGGGCCTGACGGCCAGGCCTCTGAGGCTTCGTTCTAGGAGAGGCACGTGCTTCTGCCCGGGCCCTCTCCCGGCCTGGGCTGGCCCTTCCGCGTTGAGTGGAAGCCCGCGAGCTAGAAAGTTCAGGTGCTTCACAGGCCGCAACGCCGCCTCAGGCAGCCGGACGCCGGAACGCGGGGCGCGGGGTGAGTGCCGAGCCGGGCCGGGGCGGCCGCAGTGGCTGGCGAGGAGGGCAGGGTGAGGGCAGGGAAGCAGCCCCGGGTGGAAGCGCGGACCGTCCCTCTCTGCTCGGCCACCTGTTGCTGGGCATGTTGTCCAGAAACCGCCCTCAGCTCGCCTTTGTCTCGAGGGAGGAGGTTTGTGCCTTTTGGCTTTTGAAGTTCGCAACACAATTTAAGCATCTACACGAGATGCCTCAGAAAAGTTAGCGATGTGTAGACGCCAACGTTTTCTTTCTTTGCTCAACGAAATCATCACGTTTTAGACTCATGGCTTGTATACTCTGACCATAGTGTAGGGGCCAAAAGTCTACCCTTAGATGAATGTGTGTGAGGTATTTAGAGGTAGAGAGGTTTGGCCTATCTGTGATTTTCAAAGAATTTTTGAATCTTAAAAACTCTCTCAAGAGCGCTGCATTGATTTGTTGAAGCTGTGAAAAAGATTCGGTGATACGTAACCTTGTTTGTTGCGGAGCTTTTCAGTTATCCCTAATAGTAGCTTCTCTGGGTTTATAGAGAGGTTCTCTACATAGTGAATGTTTTTCCGAGGGGACAAAGCAAACAAAAAACTCCATGAAACTGCAGAATATTAAACGTGAGGAGGGAAATCTCATTGAGGAGAAAAATAGGTTAAAGCTTAAGACATTAAATGTCAGCAATTCATATCTTCTAAATTACAGAGATTAAAAGAGCTGGTTTCATTTCCTGTGTCAAAAGACATTACTAGTGTCTCGTGTGTTTTGTGCAAAACAGTTTCCACGGCTAAATTGTGTTGTTTTTAAATTGCGAAAATAAAAGATAAACTTTACTACTTATTCTGACATAATTACTTAATATTAATGAAGTCATTAAGAAAAGAGGCGCGAGGTTTTCTTTATAGATATAGAAATGAAATGCATCTGGTATATAAATATAGTCAATACATACATTATTGGTAAGGAGAATCTGTATCATTACTATTCAAGAGTAAAAAAAAATATCACTTGGCTTCTGATGCAGAATTCATTTAAGAACAGCAACAAGACATCTTTATAAAATTCTCTAATTAAAAGCTGAACAAGTTATTCTATATTTTCCACACTTTCTTTCCCTTCCTCCATACATTTTAATGTGTCAACTAAGATTGAAAAAAATTCATTAAGTTTAAAAAATATTTATATTCAAGAATACAATGCTTTATGTAAAAATTACCAATTTAAGAATGAATGCTAAGTAATAACAATGTATAACTTATTTGACAAGAAGAAAACATCTTCATTGTCTTAATCTGTTTAAATAAATAGTTGGGCATCTGAAATACACTGTTTTAGAAAATGAGCTTTTTTATTTTTTTGGCTGTGTTCAGTAGATGACTATTGAGAAGAAAAGCAATTATGTCTTTTAATTTTTCTGATGACATTTACTGATACCTGAAAAAATAATTGGAATTGTTTTTGAGGGGTAGAGGAACATGTTTTCACCTAATGTTTCTTTAACTATGTGTTAAACTGAGTTAGATTTTAATTAAAAGACATTAGGGGCAGTCCTTCAAAAGTCATAAATAAATGCCAAGAAACCTTCAGTAATGTAGGTTAAGTGGCAGTTATACAATATGGCCAAAGTTAAAACTGCTTTTAAATATGTTTAATGTTGTTAGAGAGGAAGAAAAACAAAGGAAAGCAGTGTATGGTGTGTTCTCAACTAAAATGCATATTTCTCTGATTTATGAAATTGCAATTTACATTTCTAGGATTACTTCAAATATAAGAATGTGCTTAAAAATATCTTGGAGTTCTTTCTAATAAAAAAGGAATTGTGTTCAGTTTAATCATTGATGACCAATCAAAATTTAAACCTTTAAAATCTATTGTGTTTCTAACAATTATACCTCTTTGGATCCTTTACTTAGTTGCTAATACAACCAAAGGGACAAAATTACACTCTATTCCAAAGGTTACAGATACTTTTTTTTTCCTCTATGTTTTAAAGGTTAAACTTTATAAAATAGGTTGAAAACTATTTTAGAAAATTTTAAGATTACTTTGAAAGTAAATTGTAAAATTAGGATTTAAGGAACTTGAGTCAGAATTCTTTCAGAATTGAGATGGAGTACAGATAAATCATAGCCAGTTTTGATGCAGGTTGAAAATAATTAAAATATAAGAATAATGGTCTGTGATTCAGTAAGTTATGTCTAAAGAGCTTGTAAGATTTTTAGTACACAAATGTTATCTGTGTCCAAATGCTCTAAATGCTTATAAAATATACCATCATCTTTGCTAACTATTTCAATGGAGGAACCAGGTTTTATTTTTAAAACTTATTTTAAATGTTACTGTGAAATATATGTATATACATAGTATATAAAATATATACATTTTAAAGAATAATCAAATATACATGGAA